TGCCCCAAGTGTAACAGAGCCTCTGGAAGCTGCATTGGTCTGTACAGCCACCTACGGACTCACCCGAGAATGGTAGTGAGTCATCCTCGTCTGCGAGGAACCACCAATAATGATGATGTTTCACTGGCAGAGGACATGAAAGTTTAAGGTGGTCTAGGGGGTGCTAATCAAGCAAGCTGCTTTGTGCTGGATGGTGTCTGGTGTCTTGAATGTTGTTGGAGTTGAACTCATCCAAGCTAACCAGGCATATGCACAGATCAGGATTGTGATGGAAATGTAGGTGGTGGACAGGATTTGGGGATTCAGTATGTGAGTTACTTGCTGTAGGTTTCTCAGCCTCTGAGATATGGTTGGTCCAGTTCAGTTTCTGGCCAATGGTGGTGCCCAGAATGTTAATAATGGGAGATTTAGCAATGGTAATACCATTGAATGAAAAGGGGAGATGGTTAGATTCTCCCTCAGTGGAGATAACAATGACCTGACACTTGTGTGGTGTAAATGTTGATTGTCACTGATCAGCCCAAGTTTATCTATATACAGATTCAGATTGCTTCAATATCTGAGGATTTTCAAATGGTGCTGAACAATCATCAGTAAACATTCCCACATATGAATCATAGAATCCCTACAGTGTGGAAGCACACCATTCAGCTCATCAAGTCCACACTGATCCTCTGAGGAGCATTCCACCCACACCGACACCACTACCCTATCCCTGTAATCCCGCATTTCCCATGGCTAATCCACCCGCGTATCCATGAACACTATAACCTTCGCATATCTGACCTTTTGAGAGATAAGGTCATTGATGAAGCAACTGACGATATTTGGGTCTCAGACACTCCCCTGTTGAATCCCTACAGTGACGTCATGACACTGAGAAGACTGACTTACAACAACCACAACTATCTTCCTTTGTACCAAGTACAACTTCAACCAGTGGACAGTTTTATGCCAATTGCTGTTGACTTTAGTTTTGCTAGGGCTCCTCGGTGACGCACTTGCTCAAATCCATTCTTGATGTTAAGGGCTATCACTCTTGCCTCAGCTCTTTTGTTCATGTGTAGTGAGGTCAGGAGTTGAGCGGCCCTGGCGGAACCCAAACTGGGCAGGTTATTGCTGAGTAATTGCTGTTTGACATCCCTGTCAATGACACCTTCCATCATTTTTGTAATGATTAAGAGTAGATCAAAGGTATGGTAATTGGTTAGATTGGATTTTATCTTTATTTGTGCAAAAGGACAACGTGGGCAATTTTCTACAAAGCTGGTAGACATCAGTGCTACAGTGTCTGCAATTCATGACTGGATATGGCAGGACTTCAAAACCTAAACCTGATCCATTCATTATTGGATCACCTAGCTTTATTTATTATATGGTGCCTCAGTTCTTTGGCATGGAAGTAGTCCTGTTTTGTAGTTCCACCTCATCTCTTTATATATTCTTGATTCTTTTGTGCATGCTCTCCTTCACTGAACCAAGGTTTTTTTTTTCCTAGTTAGCTGGTAATGGTGAAGTGAAGGATATTCCAGGGCATGAGGTTACAGATTGTGATTGAATATAGTTCTGCTGTTGGACGCACTTGATACCCAGTTTTATGTTGCTCAATCTACTTGAAATCTACCCTATATTGAATGGTGAAGGTGCCACACTACATGATGGATGGTACTCTCAATGTGAAGGTGAGAACTTGTCTCCAAAAGAATTGTCCGATAATCAGTCCTATCAATACTGTCACGAATGGATGCATTTGTGATGGATAGATTGATTAGGATGAATTCAAGTAGATATTTTCCCTCATGTTGGCTCCCTCATCGCCTGCCAAAAATCGACTCTGAAAGTTTTGTCTTTAGGGCTGAGCCAAATCAGTCTCCAAATGGCACTACTGAATCACTTTTGGCAATGGACTCTTAAGTCCCTCACCCAGAATACACTCTGTATTTATTACCCTCAATGCTTTTTCCAATTTTTAAAAATTCATTGGATAAGTCTAGGCCTGTAGTTATTGTTTATCCTAATTGCCCAGAGGCCAGTTAAGAGTTAACCAATTGTGGTATGAGGAGTGGTCACTCGACCCAAAACGTTAACTCTGATTTCTTTCCACAGATGCTACCAGACCTGCTGAGCTTTTCCAGCAATTTCTAATTTTTTTTGTTACATGTATGGGAAGTGATTCCTAAGCTGAGGGGGGAGGTGGGTCATAATCAGCAGGTGGTTTCCTTTCCCGTGTTTGACTTGAGATTTTGTGCCTGTGGAATTCCCACTTACCTCTTCATACTGTGGGAATGATGGCAACGGGAGAAGATGAGCAGTCGCCAATCTAGAGAAATATCCAACCACAATAATGCCTGTGGAATTCACTATCACAGAAAGTGGTTGAGACCAAAACATTATGTATTTTCAAGAAGGAGGTAAACATAGCTCTCGTGGCGAAAGGGGTGAAGGGATATGGAGGGAGGGCAGGATTAGAGTATTGAACTCTATGATCATGATCGTAATTAATGGTGGTGCAAGCTCGAGGGGTCGAATGGCCTACTCCTGCTCCTATTTTCTGTTTCTATGTGAGATATGAAGTCAATGTTGAGGGCTCCAAGGGAAGCTCTATCCTGATGGCATACCACTGTGCCGCACCTCTGCTGAGTCAGTGATGGTCATGGTGATGTATGCTTATGGTAAGGTCTGTAAGGTATCACTAACTCTATTACCTGACCGGGATCCATTCCACACAGTGCAAAAAGGAGTGTTACAGCATTTCCATTCTTAAAATTTGAAAACTGATGAGTACAAAAAAAAATCACCAAAAAACAAGCACTTATTCCCTCTGACAACTCTTATCTCTTCATTGATGTTGGGCAGCCTTACATGCTTTCTGCTGTACTAGTATCTGTACTGCACCACTAATGGTGGGCTGTCTAAAGCCAGGGATTACCAGACAACCTGCATAAACCAATACATTAACACAAGGTTATCAGCAAACAGCCTCAGCAGGCAATTAATCTACCAGCAACAACCTCCAGGAGAACCAAATGATTTCTTTTCTCACTCCCCATTCTTTGATTTATATTAGGTTCTCCACCTTAACCATCCTGTGACAGAAACAGATGGGCAAGTGATTTATCAATCCCCCTCTGCGCACACACAGCCTTGACATAGGAGCATAGGAACAGAAGTAGCCCATTTAACTGTAATAGTCTGTTCCTGCCCCATAACCCTCACCATTCAATGAGATCATGGTTGATTTGTGAGCTAACTCCATAATACCAACCTTTGCTCAATATCCTCAATACTGGTGGTTATCAAAAATCCATCAATTTCAAAGTTAGGAACATGGGGATTTAACATCTGACCCAGCATTAACTGATGTTTGTGGAATAGAGTTGCAAATGTCCACCATTCTTTTTTCTGGAATATTTGCAAACCACTCTCTGAAGACCCGGCTCTAATAGTTAGGCTTTATCCCCTAGAGGTTGGACACTTGACCCTTTTGGGAAGTCACAACTTGGAGCAAATTCACCCCCCCTCCTTACTTCATGGCCCTATGTGTTGCTACGCCAATATGCTTTGACCTTTCAACATAAAATCAGTAACATTCTAATAATGCCAAACAAGCATAAATCAAATATAAATCCGCCTGATTAAAATGGATAATCAGCTGTCTTCTCAACTCTATTCCCAGATCCTAAGCTCCCTGATCCCACCCAACCTGATTTCCACTTATTTCTTTCTACTGTGGCAATATTGTCGAAGCGACTGAAAACAAAAAATGCTGGAAATCACAGCAGGTCAGGCAGCATCTATTGAGAGAGAGCGAGCTAACGTTTCGAGTCTAGATGACTGTTCACCAGAGCTGACATGAAGTGTGGAGGGGGCAGCAGTATGCAATAGTGGGCGGGGTTTGAGTGCTGGGGGAGAGAGGATGCTGATAGTTCAGTTTAAGTGATCTGAATGTAAGAATGGCAGAACAATGGTGTCTCTAACTGCCAAACAGGAAAGAACAAAAACTCCCATTGGAATGGGAGGTGGGGAGAGAGGACATGGTGACAGAGAATGCAATAAGTAAAGCCAAAGGAAAGGGAAGGAATGGGAGTGGGTTCACAATCTGAAGGTGCTGAACTCAATATCAAGTCCAGAAGGTTGTAAAGTGCCTAGCCTGAGGATGAGATGTTGTTCCTCCAGTTTGCACCGTGATTCGCTGGAGCACTACCGCCTGCCGAGGACAGGTAAGTGGGCATGTGAGCAGGACACTGTGTTAAAAGGAGTGGCTACGGGAAGGTCAGGGTCTTGCTTGCACATGAACTGGAGGTGTTCTGCAAAATGGTCACCCAGTCTGCATTTGGTTTCCCCAATGCAGAGTAGGCCACATTGGGTGCAGTGAATACAATAGGCCAGATTGAGGAGGTGCAGGTGAAATGCTGCTTCACCTGGAAAGACTGTTTAGGCCCTTGGATTGTGAGCAGGAAGAGGTGAAGGAGCAGGTCTGTTGATGATCTAGAGAAATATCAAACAATAATAATAATTAACCTCTAATTGAATTGAAGACCTATTCAAACGAACAGTCTATATGAATATTGGATCATTGGTCTTAAAGGAACACAATAATCAAGCAATACTTTGTATGAGCAAAAGCACTGGTGATCAGTTAGTGGAACAGAATGTAAAATTCCAGTTTTGGATCATTTTTACCACATACTTATGTGCATGTTTCCATGTAACAGCCTATTTGATACAGAACTGCAACACTTGTGCATTATATTCATGATATAGAAATTATAAGTACCTAAAAAATAGTAATTGACTGAATTATTCCAGTGCCACACCTATGCATACGATATTGCATGTTAATACCAGCAATGACAAACAGTATTAATCACAACTTACAAGAGCGCAATCAGTGCATTATATTCCATTCCTTACATGGATTAAAAGTTATATACTGACATTAAATCAAGATGCAACCCTTGCTGTTCGAAGTGAAAAGACATGTATAGCTGCAGTGGCTCTGTTTTAGCATCATGCAACATTTTTAATTTCTTTACAAACTCTTGGAGAAAATTAAACACTTAAACAATACAAGTAAGTGAACTTTACATGAGCACCTGTCATCATTCAGTGACCAAAGATGGAAAGCATTCACAGCAAGTAAAAAAAAATCAGAATTTTTAATTTCTCCACATATACAAAAAAGGTTAAAGTTTAGATGCAAACAATATACAAATGAATACTGAGATTACATACTTGACTGCAGTGACTATTACTTGTTTTTAAATTTGGTAAACAGAAATCCAGGTGGCTTATCTGGATTCCCAATTGAGCACATTTGTCTTATGCATTGAACAACCCAGATTAAACTATGCTATGTGGATTAGGTATTTGAGTAATGATTCTGTATAGCATGGTAATACTTCAACATTCATTGGCAACAAATTAGCACTTTATTGGGAAGTGAAGTCAAAATGCTCACTCATGCACTAAGCAGTAATGACCGAATAAAATTACGTTGAACTGAAATAATAACAATGTTTTTATTTTGGTTATTGTTCAGACTCCCAGGAAAAGGAATTCGCTAGTACACCTCTAGACTGCGAAGTCTCTGCCTGGTCTCCCTGGGGTCTCTGCAGCCACAGTTGTGGGATTGGCATCCGAGAAAGGACACGGTTCATAATACAGCACCCTGCCAATGATGGGGAGATCTGTCCAAGCTTGCTGACCCAGGAGGAGTGCGAGGATTCTCCTTGTCAGACGCCATCAGCAGATAGCGACATCACTGTTTCAGACCCAGCAGAAGCGACTGCAATGTCATACTTAGAGGCAAACCTGAATGAAAGAACAGGCTCAAGCTCATTGGAAGAACCCCTGTCACAACACAACGAAACAGACGATATCATAACATCATCTCATCCTGATGATATGCAAGTCCAAGAAAGCGAACAGCTTCTGAAATTCACAAGTATGTTACCATTTCTCTTCTTTCCTGGAGCTTTTTGTTCTTGTGCCTGCTGAAAGCTCACTAGCATGGCTAATGTAGGAATGGGCACATTAGAATGTTCGATCCCAAAGCTGTGACAAGGTAGCCAACCCCAACAATTTGCCCGCCAAGTCCCAGAAACAGCATTACAATAAATGACATAACATCTGTTCTATTGATTTAGAGACTTTAATCCCCCACCAAATACATCCATCTGGAAGGGCAGGCAGGGCCTCAATTTAATGTTACAGCCGCGAGACAACATCTCTGACTGTATAACACTCTCTTTGTACTGCACTTGAGTGTCAAAGTTTTGTGCTCAAGTCTCTGGAGCAGAGCTGGAACTTCAACCTTCTGAATCAAAGGTCAGGGTGCTACCTCCTGAGCTACAGCTGCCATGTTGAGATTTACTATTTCCTTCTTCACGTTGCTCACTGTGTCTACTGTCCAACTAAATTCCAATTTTACCAGTCTCATCAACTTTGACCAAATAGCCATCCTCCATGCCCAGGTTTTGCCAATGAGTGGAACCGAGCTATTAGATCACTGAGGAGTTCAGCTAATACTGAATTTGCCCTCAACTGATATCTGTGCAATTTCACTTTCAACAGAGGTCACTGAAGAGCAAAGGGGCATATAGGGAGAACAGGAATCTGGGGTGACCTATTAGCACATAATAATTGCAGTTGGCTCACTCATCAAGGACTAAGATTGAAACAGGGTGATTCTGATTTTCAGGGTTAGATTCCACATTGGGAAATGTATTAACTTGTTGAGCAATAGATGCACAATAGAGTTTTCAATAAACATTTCCCTTTTACTTTATTGACTACTGATCTAGCTAATTTACGAACTAGGAACTGGGTGGTAATCAAACAAAAAAAATGAAAATAGTTGTTTGGAAGTACAAAACTTGAGTCTTCCTGAAAAAGATCAGACTTTGTTGAAGATCAGGACAATTCACAAGAAATACCAATGTAATTTCCTTAGGAATAATTTCATTAGTAGTTAACTTTCAGTCATCATCAGCTGGTGCATTGTCTATGGCAATGTCTCTACCATAATAAGACATAGAAGCAGAAGTAGGCCATTGCGTCTGCTCTGTCATTCAATGAGATCATGGTTGATCTGATAATCCTCAATTACACTTTCCTGCCTTTTCCCTAAACTCTTTATTCCCTTACTGATTACAAATCCATCCCAGCCTTAACACCCAGCCTAAGCAGCCCTCTGCGGTAAAGAATTCCATAGATTCACTACCCTCTAAGAGAAAAAAACCTTCTCCTCATCTCTGTCTTAAATGGGCAGCCACTTATTCTGAAATTATGTTCTCTGGTCCTAGACTCTACCACAAGGGAAAACAACTCATCTGCTTCTACTCTATCAAGCCCCTTAATAACATGATATGCTTCAATAATGCCTCCTCTCATCAAAATTCAAATGAGTACAAGCCCAACCTACTCAACCTCTTTTCCTAAGAAAATTCCTCCATTCCCAGGATAAACCTTGTGAACTTTTCTGGACTGCCTATAATGTCAGTGATAATCAAAGTTCACTTGCTAACCCATCAGCACAATTTTCTCTTACAATATAATTGTTGTTTCCCTTTACTTTGGCATTTCATGTGAATTGACACCTGATGGGGACAGAACAAAAAGCTTTGACAAAAAGTCTATTTTTTTCAGCAATAATAAATACTAAAAATGTCAAGAAAAATTGGTAAAAATTTGGTAAAAATTGGTAAAAATGCACAGTGAATTTATTAGCATCTGGAAAGGTAGACAAGGAAAGTACCTATTATATAACACATGGATAGGATTTAGAGTACAATGACCGATGGGCTAGAATCAATGAGTCCCTACAGGGTGGAAGCAGGCCATTCAGTCCATCGAGTCCTCACCGACACTCCAAAGGGCATCCTACCCACACCCACCCCATCTCCATAACCCTGCATTTCCTAAGGCTTATCCACCCAGCCTACACATTGAGGGGCACTATGGACAATTTAGCATGGCCAATCCACCTAACCTGCACATCTTTGGACCGTGGAAAGAAACTGGAGCACCTGAAGAAAACCCATGCAGACAAGGGGGAGATGTGCAAACTCCACACAGACAGTCACCCAAGGATGGAATTGAAGCCAGGTCCCTGATGCTGTGAGGCAGCAGTGCTAACCACTGAGCCACTAAGCTGCCTGGTTGGTGGAAACAATTGAAAACTCTTTCTCATGATATGGGGTGGAGGGATCAATTACTAGGGGACACAGGTTCCAGATGCCGGAGGGGGGTGTTTGAAAGAGATGTATGAGGCAAGTATTTTACACAAAGGGTGGTGAGTGTCTGGAACGTGCTGCCAGAGGAGGTGATGGAAGCAGACATAATAGCAGCACTCAAAAAGCACCTGGAAGAATACATGAATAGGAAGGGAATAGAGGGATACGGATCCTATGAGTGAAGACAATTTTAATACGGGAGGGCAAAATGTATCAGTGCAGGCTTGGAGGGCTGAAGGGCGTGTTCTTGTGCTGTATTGTTCTTTGTTCTTGGCATTGGTACAGTCCTAGGACTGTTAGGGAGTGAGTTCCAGGATTTTCCTGCAAATATATTTAATTGTAGCCTACAAAGGAGTTTGGATAAATAATTAAAACAGAACAAGTTACAAGGATTTGGGGAAAGAGCAGAGGAGTGGGATGATTGGATTATTTTGAGTAAAAGCTGGCTACCTCCTGTGCTGTGCTCAATGACTGTGTGAAATATTTTTTGTGCCTTAGTAACCTACAGTTCTTAGAGCCTCTGAACTCATATATCACCTCAAAAATGGCTGGGAAAATTTCTGTTGACAGGTAAAAGTCAATTTCCAGTGGGTGCAACATGGTGCAAGTTTTACACAGCATACCAAATACTAACAGCATTTGATTCTCTCAAGTAGGCTTATTTGTTTAATTAACAATTGAAATGGATGTATGGAGCACACTAGAGGGATAACGCTGACCATGACTATTATTCACTCAGCCACTCACTACCCATCTCATCAAAACCAGCTACCTGAAAGGAACCTTTCGCCTCATTAATTCTGTGGTTCCAAACTATTCAGTACTTTCAGCGTAAAAACCAATAACAGGAAGCCAGCATTTCAGAGCTGTTTATCGCTTTAAGGTTTTTAAAAAAAGTATTTCATGGAATATTTGTATTCTTGGCTTTGGCTGCCTACCACTAATTGCCCTTAAACAGTTGAGAGACAGATTTAAGCTAGTAGACTTTCTTCCCTAGAGGACAGCATTAGCAAACCAGATGGATATTTTAACAACAATCAATGATAACTGTGATGGTCAACATTACTACTGGCTGGCTTTACATTCCAAGTTAATGTAACCAAATTCAAACTCTCAGCAGCTACAATGATGAGCTTTGAACCCAGTTACCACAGCATCAGATTGATTCTTTGGATTATCAGCCAAGCTCTAGTACCATCACATCACCATCTCCCTAAGGTTAGCCCAGCTTCTCTGACACTTGATTCTATTTGTATCTCTTTCTCTCACCTTACAGATGAAAACTGGTGGCTCTCCAAGGCTGGAGTTCAATTCAACGAGAGTATGCCAGCATTCCAAAATACTTCTCGTGATCAGTCCTTCAACGGAATTGCAGTACCAGAAGAGGATGGATAAGAAGTATCCCACTCTTCACTCCCCAGATCCCATGTTGGTTCTGATTAACTATGTTCCTAAAAGGAATAAAATTGTTTATCAAGCATTTGCTTATACTCTGTGATTATGTGTTGGCTTATGAGGAGAGATTGAGTGAACTGGGACTATACTCATTGGAATTTAGAAGAACAATGGGGGATCTTATAGAAACATATAAAATTATGAAGGGATAGATAAGATAGAAGCAGGGAGATTGTTTCCACTGGTGGATGAAATTAGAACTAGGGGGCATAGCCTCAATATAAGAGGGGGCAGATCCAGGACTGACTTGAGGAGGAACTTCTTCACCCAAAGAGTTGTGAATCTGTGGAATTCCCTGCCCAGTGAAGCAATTGAGGCTATCCCATTGAATGGTAATAAGGCAAAAATAAATAGACTTTTGAACAGTAAAGGAATTAAGGGTTATGATGGAACCAATGGGCCAATTGACCTACTCCTGTTCCTTTTTTTTATATTCTTATGTGATGTTGCTTGAATGAGAAAAGCAAAGCACATGGCAATCTAATATCCAAGAAACAGGCATCGAACACATTGTAGAGACACTTCATGAGATTTTACTTTCATGTCATAGTTTTACTGAGCAGGTTGAGAGCAGTGTATGGAGCTACATAAATAGTTAAGAAATAGTAAAGATAAATCCAAAATGCTGCTTTCAAATTAAACTGCAAACATAGGATGAGCGGTCAGAGGATTAAACGTGTAAATGTAGGACTGAGATCAAGAACTTCATCACCCAAGGCAAGGACAACAACATCATTTAGCAGTTGGACCATCAGATGCTTCTGGCTGAGTGGATCTTTAGTTCACTTGGAACAAGCAAGAAATGCTAGCCAGCCAGTGACACCAATGCCCCGTGAGTGAATAACAAAAAATTCTCTTGCAGTTTTAGGCATTTGACATTGGAGAACAGATCTGAAGAAAAGTCCTGTTAAGACTCAAAATATTAACTGTTTCTTTTTGCAGATACTGCCAGGCCTGCTGTGTTTCTCCAGCACGTTCTGTCGTTATTTCAGACCAGTGTTGGCAGGATTTTATGTTTATTTATTGGAACTGATGTAACTAAAGTTAGTAGAGTCATAGAGATGTACAGCATGGAAACTGACCCTTCGTCCATGCCGACCAGATATCCTAAATATGTCTAGTCTCATTTGCCAGCATTTGGCCCATACCCCTCAAAACCCTTCCTATTCATGTACCCATCCAGATGCATTTTAAATGTTGTAATTCTACCAACTTCCACCACTTCCCCTGGCAGCTCATTCTATACATGCACCACGCTCTGCATGAAAAAGTTGCCCCTTCGGTTCCTTTTAAATCTTTCCCATCTCACCTTAAACCTATGCCCTCTAGTTTTGGATTCCACCACCCCAGGAAAAAGATCTTGTCTATTTAACCTATCCATGCCCTTCATGATTTTGTAAACCTCTATAAGGTCAGTCCTCAGCCTCTGATGCTCCATGGAAAATAGCCCCAGCCTATTCAACCTCTCCTTATAGCTCAAATCCTCCAACCCTGGCAACATCCACGTGAATCTTTAGTCTTGGAGTTCTACTGACGACTACTAAGTTTGATAACAAAAGTATCTACCTGATATCAAAAAAAATACAAGTGAATTATTTAAACAGCAGAAGAAAATAAAACCAAAGTTTTATCTAAACTACAACTGTGATTACTGTGTAATATTCAGCAAAGATAGAGAATTGTGCAGAATTAGGATTGTGTGAGGGCATCATACAGAGGTTTGATAGGATCGAGGTCATGGTGCTGAGGTTAGACTAGTTGGAGATGACTTTTAGATATTTTTCCTAATTAACCTATTTGGATAGGTTATGACACAGCCCTGAAGCAGGTGGGACTTGATGCCAGGTCTCCTAGGCCAGAGATAAGCTGCCACTATCAATGCATCACAAACACTCACTGGATACTTTCTATTTCAACCTGTTAGTACACACCACTGGAGCAGGTGGGACTTCAACATAAGCCTTCTGACTCAGAGGTAGGAACACTACCATTAAGTGGCCCAAGCTATGGTGGCATTAATTGCAAATACTGTATAGGATAATAGTAGAGTTTGGGTGAATCTTCAAGGCTTCCATGAAGGTCTCTCCTTCTCAACATTGCGAGTAGCCTGAGGTATGGTGGCCCTCAGGTTAAATGACCATCAGTTCAATCTCGCCAATAAGAAGCCAGCCCCACAGTCCTCTGGGACTATGTTTTAAATAGATTTTGGGGAGGCTGCCATTGCAGATTAAGATGAAATGAAGCCTTTTTTTATTTATTCATTTTGTGGGACATGGGCGTCGCTGGCATTTATTGCCCGTCCCTAGTTGCCCTTGAGATGGTGGGGGTGAGCTGCCTTCTTGAGCTGCTGCAGTCCACCTGCTGTGAGTTCAACCACAATGCCCTTAGGGAGGGTATTCCAGGATTTTAACCCAGTGACAGTGAAGGAACTGCAATATATTTAAGTCAGGATGGTGAGTGGTTTGGAGGGAAACTTGCAAGTAATACTGTTGTCATATACCTGCTTCCCTTGTCCTTCTAGATGGAAGCGGTAGTGGGTTTGGAAGGTGCTATCCAGTTATTTACACACCATAGCAATGATTTTGCACTAACAGAACTAACCACGTACTCTGTAGCTGTACGGTGACAGACACTTTGCTCTAGACTGTTTCATTAAGTGTGCAATACATGACTGGGAGGTGCTGGCCCACAGATTCACTTTGGTGCCCTTTTACATGAAGGTTGTGTAAAAATAATTAGGCCATTGAATTGTGGCAACTGTTACTCAGAATAAAAACGTCTTTGTTCTACGCTGTGTGAAGAAACATGAGCTTCTCCTGTGGTTCGGAGGGGAAGCAGACTGACTTCAGCAGTTAATTTGTCTCCGATATTCTGGCGTGTAATTGCTGCTAATCAGGTCACAGACACCAGGTTGCTGGGCTGCTTCCCATTCCGAGTGTAGCCACCAGCTGGGAGCAGCGCGCTGTTTTGATACCGGAGCCTAGCCACTATAAATCATGTCACCAAATGAACAGTCATCATGAGGATTCCACACATACCGAGTAAATCAGCTCACAGTGTGATTGTTGGTTCTCAGCAAGGGCTGACTGATCTGTTGGGGTGTCCACGCACCTTTGGCACCACGGTCAAAATCTCATGGGGGTAATTAACTTGCCTTTATAGGGTTCAGTTTGGACCACCCCTCTCAATGTGCGGTGAGAACGCTGTGAGCTTTCACTAACCCCTCCTATGGACGTTCCTTTGTCTGTATGTGGCCGTGTTCTCAGAGGAATGCCCTCTCATTGGACAGACCACTGGTGCCAAACTTAACCTAAGGGCCACCATTGTCTCAGGTGATGGGCAAAGTTAAGAGGGCAGGGCCTTCATTGGAATTGAATCTACGCAGTTAGCATCACTCTGCATCGCAGAACAACCATCTAGCCAACTGATCCAACTGACCCCCACAGTAGATGTCCTGGTCTGTACCTGTCTCATGATGCATTAATTATTCATGACACAACCAATTAGCCAACAAGTGCCCTGTTCAAAACTCATGCGTTGGTACCTTTCTGGTTTCTACTCAACAAGATCTCCGGTCCAGGACTTCTGTTACATTCATAAAACTGGCTTCTACCATCTAGAAAGACAAGGGTAGCAGACACAAAAACAGATGTAGCTGGGAAAGCTCAGCAGGTCTGACAGCATCTGTGAAGAAAAAGTCAGAGTTAACGTTTTGCATCCAGGGACCCTTCCTCAGAACTTCTGAGTTCTGAGGAAGGGTCACCGGACCCGAAATGTTGACTCTGAGTTCTGAGGAAAGGTCACTGGACCCAAAACGTTAACTCTGACTTTTCCTTCACAGATGCTGCCAGACCTGCTGAGCTTTTCCAGCAACTTCTGTTTTTGTTCCTGATTTACAGCATCCGCAGTTCTTTCGGTTTTAAACAGTAGCAGACACATGGAAATATTGCCATCTACAAAGTTCACCCCCAAGCCACTCACCATCCTGACTGGGAAATATATCACCGTTCTTTCAGTGTCATTGGGTCAAAATCCTGGAATTCCCTCCTCAATGGCATCTCTATAACATGTGAAATATAGAAGTTCAAGAAGACAGCTTACCGCCACCTTCTCCAGGTCAATTAGGAACAGGCAATACTTGCAGGCCCAGGCAGCGATGCCCACATTCCACAGACAAATTTAAAAATGAGAATGTTGAGGTCCTCAGCCTTGATTTTAACCACGTCACTCTGAGGGAGGGGTGGGTTCAGATTGGATGCTGAATTGACCCTCTTCCTCAATTCATGCTCCATTGGGCTTCAATTTGTATGAAATGTTCATTGCAACTTCTGTAAACATTGTTGCTTGCAACTGAAAGAGAATATGGCTCCAGGGAACATCTGGAGTTCTGGCTGTACTTTTACATGCAAGAGGCTTCATTCTTCATGGGTTAGCAGCTTTCCCTCAGGCGTGGAGTAGATGACGTTATGTTTCTGAGTTAGTCTCAGCAACTCCTGCTTGTGTTCCAAACGCATCAATGGCTACACACAAAGAATTGGGTGGATACAAACTGACATGCACAGGGTGAGGAAAGGAAAAGGCTTGCAATGTTTTGAAAGAGACAATCGCAGTTTCACTTCTGGCCCAGATTGTTTCCAAGCAAAATCCATCAACAGAAACTTCAGGCAATACAAAATAGCAACTGCCAGAACCAAAGCAAGAAATTTCATTTTTGTAGCTCCTTATAAAATAATCAGGACGTCCCAAAGTGCTTTACTGCCAATGAAGTACTACTGAAGTGTAATTATAGTTGGAATGTAGGAAATGCAGTAACCAACTTGCACTCAGTGACCGAAATATCTGTTTTTGGTAAAGTTGGTGGACAGATAAATATTGCGAATATTGTAACAATATAATTCAGTCTGAAGAAGGGTCGCCGGACCCGAAACGTTAACTCTGTTTTCTCCTCCACAGATGCTGCCAGACCTGCTGAGCTTTTCCAGCAACTTTGCTTTTGTTCCTGATTTACAGCATCTGCAGTTCTGTTGGTTTTTAGATAAATATTGTATCCTTCGTAGCTCTGGTTTTAGTCACCACACTCCTGCAATGTGGTGAGATCTGGACTGTGTATCAGTAACACATTAGAATGCTAGAGAACCTCCACCAGAACTGTGTCCACTGCATTCTCCAGATTCAACAAGAACTACTTGCTAATGACCTTCTTGAAGTTGGCTATCCAAGCATTCAGGCAAGACTCCAATAAAAGCTACTACATTGAAGTGGAGACTGCGTCTGGAAGGTTAAAACATAGAAATATAGAAAATAGGAAAAGGAGTCTTCGAGCATGCTCCACATTCAAAATGATCATGGCCTGATCATCCAACTGTGTAACCTATTCCCACTTTTGCTCCAAATCCTTTGATCCCTGGCACACACCACCAGGCATCACCCCACCAGATCCTCTTTTCTGAACTCTTAGCTTGGCCCACAATCCAGGGGAGGACAAAGTCAACTCTACAAAGATGCTCTCAAGCTCTGCCTGAAGCTCAGCAGAATTGACATTAATGACTGGCTGCATCACACTTTGTATCACAACACCTAAGGATCAAGTAAAGCAATGGCAGGAAGGAAAAGAAGCAAATTCTGCAGTCTGGATCCCACGGCCTTGTGGGACATCCTGCCTCATCTGACCAAAGATCTGTACGTCAAAAAATGGTGTGTTCAGTCTCATGACAACCCACAGCAGAGACGCAGAATCCTGACTAGGCAACATCCATCCTCTAATCGAGGCAAAAACAGTAGTTGCTGGAAAAGCTCAGCAGGTCTGGCAGCATCTGTGAAGAGAAATCTGAGTTAAAATTTCAGGTCAGGTGACCTTTCCCCAGCGGGACAGGCACAGAAATATTGAATCAGGACATTGAATCCATGACCTTTTGACTCAGAAAGCAAAGTGTTTACCGCTGACCCAAATCCATTACCTTATTATAATATCACCAGGTTCCAGGCAGTTTGTTTCTTCAACTCTCTGCACAGCGTTGCCATTGAAGTCCCATCTGCCAATTACTAACACAGGAAATGCTGTATTAAATATTCTGCTGTGCTTTATGATGGATATTACACAAAGAAGGTTATGACTGAAGTGTGTATGACAGGTTATTAAAATACTGAGCAGGTGAGCTTTGTCCATTTAGTTAACTAGTGGTGAGTGATTTTTATTAGGGCTATTGTTCACCTTTCATTCTGGCCCTTCAGTGAGGCAAAAGAGGGATAATCACAGCTTTGAAATGGAAAATACTTCCCAATCAATATTAGTCAAGCAAACAAACACCTTGGCGTCCAGAGCTGAATAGAAAATTGTATGTTTTCACGGGCAATAGCTCTCAAATAGTGAATGGCTTGCAGCAGCTTGTGATTGAAATGCCTGAATTCAGATCTGTCTGGAAAACATAGGATCGTGATTTGTTCATCTCACAGCGCAGCGTTTAACGAGTTGCTTATAATATGATGAGTGATAGATTCACAATTCACTAATGTCCTTCAGGGAAATAAATCTGTCTATACTTGGACTGATCCATTTATGAATCCAGACCCACAGCAATGCAGCTGACTCTAACAGCTCTCTGAAGTGTCCCAGCAATCCATTCATTTGTATCAACCCACTACAAAGGCAATAATGGGAGTGCTGTCTATGTGGGTGTCCTCCCATTTTCCATCAGGGACCATGCAGCAGTCCCTTGAAACCACAGATTGTGGTGATTCACTGACTCTTAGCTCAACTGTTTATTTCGCAGCACTGTCGATTCCGTGGGCCATGTATATGTCAGTTGTGGGTGATTGCATCCTCGTTTTAGTTATTTGAAAAAGCTTTTGTTGTGCTTTTGCTTGCACTTCAACACCAGCTCCAGATCTTGGGGCATCCAGTACAAATCAGACAACCTCATTGTGGGTCTGCTCCTGGGCCTGGCCAAGTTGGCTATTAACAGGTGCAGGCAGTGGGCTGTGGAGGGGCTTACATCTGCTGACTGTCCTCCCCTCTTCTGCGGCTACTGTCTTGCCTGGGTGTCCTTGGAGAGAGAGCACACAGTGTCCACCAATACTCTCTAGAATGCTTTTAGACAGCTGGGCACCTGAGGAGGTGGAGTACTTTATGACCCCTCCATTTTAATTTTGTCCCCTCCCCACTTCCTATGTCCCCTCAGCTTCTGATGGTTTGGTTTGCCCTAAACAGGCCTTACACAAACTTATGTGCATTATTCACTTGGAAATACAGGTGATTTACTGGTGTTAATAGATTAAAAATAAAGAGGTAATTTAATGATTGGGGAAAAAAGGGTTCAGTTGTGTGTAATTGTACTTCTGCTTATATATGGAAAAACAAAGACAATATTACAAACCCTAATTGGCTGTCCGATAAAAAACCTATGCACTGGGCACAATAAAAGGAATATTTAGTCCAGTCAGTCTTGTAGCAGCCACTCAGCTAGCATCTAAATACTTGTGGCGAAATGGGGAGGGTTGTCCTTTAGCTTGGTCACGCAATGTTGGCATAGTTGAAACAAAACATCTCAGACTTCTCCATCACTGTTTCTGGGGAAGTCCTGTCCCATCAGCAGGATAGACCTATCAGAGGTGGCACAGTCTAAAGGATACGACCCTAAAATTCTTAAAATTGACTTTGGACACTATGAGGTCTCATGGCCACAGGTCCAACAATCCTTTGATTAGCTATCTGATCAATCAGTACTCATTCATGTTAAACACCACTTTCAAGGAGCACTGAGGTGCACAGAATTTATTGACAGTGTATACTCTCATTCTCGTCACAAACAATGACTTTGTAGCACTAAGCTGGCCAAGTCTTGAAGTGCATAGTTGCAAGTTGGGCTTGTGGCAGGAAGTGAAGGAACCAATAAAAGGAAAAATCCTACTTAACCTCATATTCTCACCAATGTAATTATTGCAGATGAGTCTGTCCATGACAGCATTGGCTCGAATGACAACCATCCACTCCTTATCAAGACAAGGCACTGTGCTGAACGATTCAGAACAGACCTAGAACAGGACAGATGGACAGGATGAATGTGGTTTAAAATATACCATGCAGAGACTGCACAAAACACTACATGGGACAAACAGGTAGACAACTAGCAACCCGCATCCTCGAACACCAGCCAGCAACTAAACAACACAACCAGATGTCCATGGTTTCAATACACACAGATGAGAAAAACCACACTTTCAACTGGGAAAACACTACTATCATTGGACGAGCCAAACAGAGGACAGCCAGGGAATTCTTGGAGGCTTGGCATTCATCCATGGAATCCATCAACAAACACATTGAATTAAATCCGATACATCGACCATTACAACACACAGCTGGAACTGGCACCTACCGGAAACAGCAAAAGACAGACCATGTAAATTCGAACCAGCACAAGACAACAGCGCTTCACAGGAGGCTCCACAGCACTGAGGATGTCACCTAGTAAGGGGATGAAACGTCTGCTTTCAAACCTCCCAGCTCGGCGAACACACCAACATCTACAGACCTAGAACTTCAGAACTGGGCATCCATGAGATGCGGTGTGCCAGAAGCTGCAAGAATGGTTATTCAACTGTAATCTATAGCTTCAGCACCCGGAGTATCTGTCACTCTAACATTAACTTTGAGCCAAAGGACTAACCTTGATTCAGGAAGGAGTACAGAGGAGAATGCCAGGGGCTGTACCAGGAGAATTGAAAATGAGGTGCCGATGTTCAAAGTTGAAATGCAGAACCTTTTAAGGCTCAAACAGATCAGCTGTAGAGTTAAGAAGAGGGCATCTCAGGGGCTAGGGTGGATGACTTTCCACTCCGACTCCATTTTAATTTAGTTCTCTCCCTCTCTTCCCACTCTTCCATATTTTTATCATCATCAAGGGGGGAAGGCAATGGCCCAGTGGTATTATTGCTGGACTGTTAATCCAGAAACCCAGATAATGTTCTGGGGACCCAGGTTCCAATCCCAGCATAGCAGATGGTCGAAGTTGAATTCAATAAAAATATCTGGAATTAAGAATCTAATGATGATCATGAATCCATTGTCAATTGTTGGGGAAAAACCCATCTGGTTCACTAATGTCCTTTAGATAAGGAAACTGCCATCCTTACCTGGTCTGGCCTACATGTGACTGTAGACCTACAATAATGTGATTGACTCCAAACTGCCCTCTGGGCAATAAATGCTGCCTGGTCAGTGAAACCCTCATCCTTTAAATGAATAAAGAAAAAAAATTGCACTGCCTCTGGTGGGTAGAGATTGTTAATTGTTTAATCCGCCAAACGGTTGATTTTTGGTGAGTGTTTTTAAAGAAAATAAGAGCCAGTTTCTAGGCGCTCTTGTGGTACAGTGGTGATCTCACCAGTGGTCCGTCAGCCAGAAGACCTGCATTCAAGTCCCACCTGCTCCAGAGATATATAAGATCATCTCTGACCTTGTTGATTAAACTTCTTCCCCAAAGCTAGCCATAGCTCTAATCGAGTTGTTCCGTTACAACCACTACTACATCATTTACTAATTAAGGTGAAAAGTTGCCCAAACATGTTCGATTTAGAAAAATCAGAAAAAATCAAATTTGGCCATTAGTCTACACTCAGTTTTCAGCAAAGTGATGTAAAGTACCACTGGCAGCGTTATCATGTGGCAATTACTCATCAATATCCTGATCACTGATGCTCAGCTTGTGTTCCACTTCATTCCAACCTTGGTCTAAATCTGAATAAAAGATTTGAATTGCAGAGATGGCCATTTGAGGATTTGTAGCAATCTCGCAACAATCTGATTGCCCACTTTTCTTTTTAATTTCTATCCCTGCAGCCTCAATTGAAGAATCATCTAAGATATTGTCTCTCCTTATTTGTGGTAATTGACTCCTTGGTTTCAATACACATTGTAATATTGTGACAGCACCTCCTCTTTTACACCTGCCTCAAGATTCTATATTCTGGAATATTGAGCTGCCAGTCCTGTCTCTCCCTCAAGCATGTCTCTGTGAAAGTAGTTATATCATATCCCTATATGTTAATTGCAGACACAGATTATCCGTCCATTCTCCTGTTACTGCGGGAGTTTGCTGTGCACAAATTGGTTGCTGTGTTTCCTACACTTTAAAAAGTAATCAGTTGGCCGTTCACTTTTTATGACATTGTGGGGCTGTGAGACGGCTATAGAAATGCATATAGTTTCTTTGTACTGCTTTTAGCAAATTGACCAATTGTTGTAATCTATAGTGTTGTGTACGCTCCACTTGGCATTTTCCAAACAAATCATGCAACCAGCTAATAATGCAGTTGCAATTGCATCTGATCTTAAAGTCTTAAAGACCCAAACAGGAGGACTGCTCTTGACATCTATGGAGAAAATCCTCAGAGGATTAAACAACCAATACATTAACATGGCTGACACTGTACTGTACCTTAATTTTTCATCACCTTTAATTCTCCTTCATTGGCTGAAGCCTTTGAATATATTCAGCTGGGGATGTTGAGTCATGTTATTCTGTTAAACAGTTATTATTGTTAATTCATTGACGTATCTAATTTTCGTAAAAATACTAAATGATACAAATTGTAAGTAGTTACACAGCAACAACACAATTTGCATTTATATAAAGTCAGAAGTCACACAACATCAGGTTGCAGTCCAACAGGTTTATTTGAAATGATAAACTTTTGGAGCACAGCTCCTTTGTCAGGTGAAGCGAGCATGGTCATACAGAACAGAAGTATACCACAACTGAACAACCAGGAACACTACAGACAACTACCTGGTGATCTGACCAAAGAACACACCTGTCAACTCAACAGAATGATCAAGACCTTTGGTCCAGACCCGAAGAAGGAGCAGCGCTCTGAAAGCTTATGATTTCAAATAAACGCGTTGGACTATAACCTAGTGTCGTGTGACTTCTGACTTTGCCCACCCCAGTGCAACACCGGCACCTCCACATCATGACATTTATATAGTATCTGTAATGTGTAAAGATAAACTAAGTTATGTGGCAGATGTATTATCAGACAGAATCCAACACTGTGACATATGAAATATTAGAAGGGGTTATCAAAAATGTTGTCAAAAGACGTTTAAACGCCACCTTAAAGAATTGGAAGGGTCTTAGAAAGCTATCCTGAATAGGGAGGTGGCATAGTAGTAATATCACTGATGACCTTATAGATCCAGGTTGTGGGGCATAGGTTCAAATACCACAACAGTAGGTGGTAAGATTTTAAATTCCATAAACCTAGAATATAAGTTTAGTCTCAGTAATGGTGACCATGCAATCATTATTGATCTGATTTTCTAATGCCCCTTTAGGGAAAGAAATCTGCCATGCTTTACTGGTCTGGCCTACGTGTGCCTCCAGATCCTCATCGTGAATGCCCTCTGCAGTTTTCCCAGCTAGTCATTCAGTTCAAGGGCAATTAGAGATGGACAACAAATGCATGCCCTTGTCAATAACAAGAATATTACCAACACCTACATATCTAGAAAAGAATAAAGACTTTGGAGTAAAACAAAGAACTGTGGTTGCTGGGGATCTGAAACCAAAACAGATATTGCTGGAGAAACTCAGCAGTTCTGACAGAATCTGTGGAAAAAGAATTACCATCTCCAGGCGAGTTAATGCCCAAGTGGTATTATTGCTGGACTATTAATTCAGAAACTTAGGTAATGTTCTGGGGATCAGATTCAAATCCTGCCATGGCAGATGGTGGAATTTGAATTCAATTTCAAAAAAATTGGAATTAGGAGTCTAATGATGACCATGAATCCATTCTCACTTGTTGGAAAAACCCATCTTTGCCTTCTGGTTCACTCATGCCCTTTAGGGAAGGAAACTGCCATCCTTATCTGGTCTGGCCTACATGTGACTCCAGACCCACATCAATGTGGTTGACTCTTAAATGCCCTCAGGGCAATTTGGGATGGGCAATAAATGCTGGCCTAGCCAGTGATGCCCACATCCCATGAATGAATTAAAAAGAAGTGAAGTTAATATTTTTGGGTCCAGTGACCCTTCTTCAGTACTTCAGTTAGTCATATTGCTTATAGGCAGCTACTTTTTGGGGAAGGAAAAGCTCTATGTGGGGCAATAGTACAATAGGAGTTTAGCGGTACATTGACATGTTTTCAGCAAAAGAATTATGCGTCTTACTAATACCATGACACTTATCAATTTTACAACATGCTTCCTGAATACTGGTACCTCTGGTTGGTCAAAGTTTGTTCTATCTGCCACATCCCCAGCATTGAGTAATGCACCATTGGGTAATATCAATCATCAAATATACACTGAGCTTACAACTGCATGAAAATGCTACTATACCCTCAAAACAATTATTGCCTTGTCTAAACATGGGAGGCAGGAAAGGAGGAACATCAGATACAAGTTTTAGAAAATACATGTAAGGAACTTGGAGTAACACTTAATGGAGAATTAAGATTAACTGCACAGATCTCAGCAACAATTTTAGTTACCATAACATCTTCAATGCAGTAAAACATAACAAGATTCTTCATAGAGTCATAGGGATGTACAGCACGGAAATAGACGCTTTGGTCCAACTCGTCCATGCCAACCAGATGTCCTAAATTAATTTAGTCCTATTTGCTGACATTTGGCCCATACCTTTCTAAACCCTTCCTATTCATATACCCATCCAGATGCCTTTTAAATGTTGTAATTGTACCAGCCTCCACCACTTCCTCTGACAGCTCATTCCATACACACACCACCCTCTGCATGAAAAAAATTGCCCCTTAGGTCCCTTTTAAATCTTTCCCCTCTCACCTTAAACCTATGCACTCTAGTTTTGGACTTTCCTACCCTGGGGAAAAGATCTTGGCTAGTCACTCTGTCCATGTCCCTCACGATTTTATAAACTTCTATTAGGCCACCCCTCAGCCTCTAATGCTCCTGGGAAAATAGCCCCAGCCTATTCACTTGATGAATCAGATTACAACTTGGTCGAAGATGCAGAGTCTTAAAGAAGAACAGAAAAGTAGAGTTAGGGGAAGAGATTTAGTGAAGGAGTGCAGAGCATTTGGAGGATTGTAAAACCACAGGATTTGATTGAGATCAGGAAATTTGAGGCCATCATGGGCTTGAAAGCAAGGAAAAGAATTTCAAAATTAAGTTGTTGCCAGAACAGAAGCCACAAGGTTTGGTGGATTGGGATCTCTGTCTTGGCTTATCAGACTTTTGGATGAGATATTAAATCAAGATACCGTTTGTCATCTCATGTGGATGTAATAAAACTCATGGCACTATGTTGGAGGAGAGCAGGATGAATCATTCCTGGCATCCTGGCCAAACGTTATCCATCAATCAGTTTCACAAAAACAGATAATCTGGTCATCATCACATTGCTGTGCATGGAATCTTGCTATGTGTAAATTGGCTACTAAGTTGCCTGCAATGCAACAACGTTTCAAAAATACTTTGTTGGCTGTAGAGTGCATTGGGATGTCCTGATATTATGAAAGGCCCTAGATGAATGCAGGTCTTTACTTCTTTCAAAGGATGGGCATGGGTAGGATGAACAGTCAAGGTACTTTCCCCAGGGTAGGGGAGTCCAAAACTAGAGGGCACAGCTTTAAGTGGAGAGGGGAAAAATTTAAAAGGGACCTAAGAGGCAGTTTTTTCACGCAGAGGGTGGTGCGTATATGGAATGAACTGCCAGAGGAAATGGTGGATGCTAGTACAAACACAACATTTAAGAGGCATCTACATTGATATACGAATGGGAAGGGTTTAGAGGGATATGAGCCAAATGTTGGCAAATGGGACTAGATTTATTTAGGATATCAGGTCAGCTTGGATGAGGTGGACCGAAGGGTCTGTTTCTGTGCTGTACAATTCTATTATTCTATGTAGCAGTAAACTCTGAACCCTGGCTTAATTGACTGGCCCCTGCGCTGGATTAACTGAATCTGACAAGGACAGGATCTGCAAAATTGGATTTGTTGAGGCTGAATTTCTTTGCGGGGTTTGGGGGTGGCAGTGTGACTGCAGTAGGAAGACCTGGAAAAAAATGACAAGTTCCAGATCTCCAGCTGGTGGAGTTCAGGCAGACAACCAGGAGAAATCCTGTGTAAATTCAAACCCTAAAACTCCAAGCTAGAGGGAAGGAAAATCAGTCTAAATTCTTGCCTCTGATCACTATGTAGTTACTCGACGGTGTATCAAGTGAAAGCAACATCAGGCCTGATTGTTATTCACCCCCAAAGTAAATAGTTTGCTGACATTCGCTAACTACACCCAAAAATGAAGACCTTTCTAGTGTAGCAGAAAGCAATTTGTCACACTGTGCTTGTGCCAGCTCTCTGAAAAAGAGCAATTGAGCTGTCCAGCTATCCCTTAATCAAAAATTGATCCCTCTCTCCTTGTTACGAATAAACACTGTGAGCACTGCGGTCATCAACGTTCCTAGTAGGGCATCCATGCCGTAGAAACCTTCTGGCAATATATCTGTACTTGTAAAATCTTATCGTTCCTTTGATGTGGGGCATATGGAGGCTGCTAGCATAACTGGTGTGAAATCAAGTCCTCATGATTTGTGAGTACTATGTTGATTAGAAAAAAAACACTAGTCTTCCTAGTTTCAGTGTCTGCTTCCTTTGTTCCATGATGTCATGAAGTATCTTTGCCTGCACATATTTTTCCCAAGCAAGCTGTAAACAATGTTGAAGAGATAAGATTATCAGCTGATTATATTGAATTTAGTGTGACTAACAGGGGATATACGCTCACAACATAGCCTTTACATCCCTACCAGTATAAGAATCTGCCCAGGTGAAGCCTTATCACTTACAGCTACTTGATACAGGGCAGAAGCCTGAGGCCTACAGTCAGTCAGCTATTTAACAAGGATTAAACACAGTGCAGATTAATCTGATAATTGATCTGATGTTAGCCAGCACACAGATTGAAGCAACAGAGACTGGGAGAGATAGAGAGATGCCATCTAGGGCCTGCACGCACAATCTATCGGCCTGGTTTTGTGAAGAAAAGGTTGTCTTTAGTGTCTTGATGGGAATTCGACGGGTCAGAAGCCAGAGGTCAGTTTATGAATGCTTATCCATTTGATAAAACCGTAAAGGAGTGTGTGGGGGAGGGAGGCAGAGCAAAGGGAAGCAATTTAGATTTTGTCAACCAAATTCTCATCATCAGGAGCTATATTGAGAAGTTGAAAAATGGTGTCTTCTGTTTACACTGTTTGACATAAGAAATTAATCAAGGATAGGTCATCATAATCTGGAGTAGTGCAAAAATCTGTGTTTCTCCAGAAATTGTGCTATTAATATTACTGTATAAAGCATAAAACAATTCTAAATACACATCAGCAGTAACATTCCCCTGCTTTGGAGGCCCCAAGTTTAAAACACAGACAGAGCTATCATATGTTTGTAGACCCTAACAAAACATTTCTTTAAAACTGCAACTTTGTGATTAATTCATGAAATTGCAGAATCAAACTTTTTAAGTGATTTAATGT